CATGTAGTTTGTGGCAATAGAAGTAAGAACATCAAATGTTTGCTGGCCGGAAACGATCTAAATGTTCACCCACACTCTGTTAAGGACCTAGGAGTATTCATTTCAAAAGATCTAAGCCCCAGAGCTCACTGTAACATTATTGCAAAAAAGGCATTAAGAGTTGTCAATCTTATTTTTCAAAGTTTTGTCTCTTAACGCTGTACTCCAGATTAGGGCATATAAAATTTTTGCCTGACCTATACTTGATTACTGTTCACCTGCCTGGAACCCTCACTGTATTTCAGACATCATTACATTAGAGAAGGTCCAGAGATATTTTACTAGAAGAATACTCAAATCCTCTGCTAGAAATAAAATTCCCGATACCACCAGGCTTGAAATTTTAGGTCTCGATAGCCTCGAACTACACTGTCTACATTCCGACCTAAGCTTAGTTGATAAGATCATTTACCAAAACGTCCTACCTGTAAATGAGTACTTTAATTTCAGCCGCAATAACACAAGATTCAAACTCAATGTAATTCGCTCTAATCTTGATTGTAGAAAATATGACTTCTGCAATAGAGTAGTTAATGTCTGGAACACTCTACCTGATCCTGTTGTTAGTCTCTCTAATCCCCATATCTTTTACCTTAAACTGTCTACCGTGGACCTTTCATGTTTTTTTTTTAATTGAAAAAGTTTTTCAAATACAGATTTTTCCCCCTTTCCTTCCCTAACCCCCCTCCCCCTCCCCTCCCCAATGGCTTCTCCAAAATAAAATCCAAATTGACATCACATTATATAATACTTTACCATCCTTTTACACCACCCCCCATATGCTAACCATTTCTTTCTAACATTATTATTATATCCCCCCTATACTATACATTTCAAAGCAACTTTCAGCTATAAAATTATATAATAAATCCTAATTTGGCATTTATTCAACTCATAATCTACCCATTTCCTCCACCCCCATACATATATCTCTTAATTCAAATCTTTTACGTATATTAATATCTGAACATAACATCCCTTTTCCTAAACTAAACAATCAGTAACCTAACCTATCTCCACCCACTTTCCTACAGGTCTACATACATAATATTTTCAATATCTTTATTCTTCTGCCCATTCCACTAAAAAAAATTATTTACATATATATATAAAATCCTCAATTGGCTTTAAATTTGTAATCCATATGATATCTTCTGTAATGTCTCTCAACTGGATTGTGAATTCCATTACCCATGTTAGGGTAACATCACATCCTAATTCCAACAGTATATTCGGTATCTTCAATTACCATCTGCCCCCATCAATAATAAATGTTTTCATATATAAAAAACCACCCGAGTGACTTTATATTTATATTCCATATAGTATCTTCTGTAGTGTCTTTTGTCTAGATTATTAATTCCAACCACCACGTTAGGGTAACAACCAGATCATCTGCATGCCCCAATTCCATAGTTCTCTTGCCTTATAACTCAACATATACGTAATCCATTTTTCAAAGAGTCCAAAATAGACTTATAATATTTTGAGAAGAACAACAGATCTCTGCAGTGCTGGTGTTCTTGGGATGTGGAAGATGGCCTTTCATTGAGCGGATTGACCTTTCAAGTTTTTTAAGAGGTCCCTAAGGGGGCATGCATAAGTGCACCAGCATGCCTACCATCCCTGTCCTACTGGGATAAATAAATGTCCTACATTTATTTATATGTAGTTTGCAAGTCCCCAATGCAGACTGCTTGCAATTGTTTTCTCTGCAGTCCTAACTATCTGTTGAACTCTGTGACTGTCCTGATTAATTGTTGTACCAAAGGAAACAGGCGTACAAGTAGAAAAATCAAAACTACTAGAGAGCATTTCACTGAGGCCGCCATTGATGGCACTACCTTGAGGCAGAATTGTATTTGATAGCATTAGAAATGTTGTTAATATGAGAAACCAATCCAGCAATAGTATATTGCTGTGTTGTTCCTCGATAAGAAATTCCAATGATGAATCTACTTGGCATCTACCCAAATGTGAGTAAGTGTCTCTCTTTGCTAACGTTACCAAATACCCCATCACATTATTTGGTGATCTACAGTTCCCGTTGCGAACCGGTAGTAAAGGTAAAAAGAACCCAAATGGCAACAACTTTGGGAAAGAAATTATAAATTAACAATAGCAACAGCCTATAAAGAAAACCTGTATAAGATGTTTTATAGATTGCGTATGCCACCAGAAAGATTAGCTAAAATGTTTAAAGATAAATAAATCAGCTAAGTGTTGGAAATGTCATCAATTGCCGGGATCATACTATCATATATGGTGGTTGTGTAAAAAAGCAAAACAATATTGGGTGAAAATACAAATATGGTTAGAGGGAATGTTGCAGCAACATATAGAGTTAAAACTAGAGATATTCTTATTGGAAATTTTACCAGAGAATTATAGCAAAGAAGATACATATTTGATTATTCACATAATAACAGCAGCTAGAACTGTATTTGCACAAAACTGGAAAGCAGATAAAATTCTGTTGGAAGGAGATATTATAAAGAAAATTTTAGAATGTGCAGAAATGAATAGATTAACATTGACAATAAAAGATAAAGAGGAGTCGATGTATTTCAAAACATGGGATAAATTTTATGATTGGTTAGAAAAGAAATATGAATAAGGACATAGAGATAAAATAGAGAATAGATGGGAGAAAACAATTAGAAAAATAGATACCCAGATGATGCCAAGTACGCAAATGATGAAATAAAAATAAATAATAATTGAATAAGAAATAAGTTTTTTTTCCCCAAAACAAAGATTCAGTGTTGCAATAATTTTTTTTCTCCTGATGATGGCTTTCTGCAATTGTAATTGTAATCCACTATTACAATCAACAAGCTGGAAAAGTATCCATTTTGTTTGCTGTCAGCTTTAAACAATTTTTGCTTATTTAATTTTTCTTCTTCTTCTTTTTCACCTTTATATGCACCAAATTCGTTTAAAATTCAGTCCAGATTTCCTTAGTCCAAATTCAATGTTACATTCCAATTTAGTTTCAATTTAAAGTCATTAATCGGTCCTTTCTGTTACAAGTTTTTCTTCCTTCTTTATCCTTCCTCCCTTTAAAGCTCCCAAATTAAAAAAGAGTCTTTTTGGGTTCTTAATTCTTCTGATTTTTTTTAAAGTTCTCCAAAAACTTAAATCCCCCCCAAAATTTTCAGATTGGGCTTTATCACTTTATAATTTCTGCCTTAATCTTCTTTTTCTGTCCTTTCCCATGCCTATTAGCCACTGTTATCAACCAGGACATTTACAATTGTTTTAAAAAACCCCTTTTTTTCTTTCTGCCTATGAGTTAAATATCACACATCTGGCATCAATATTCCGCTCAATTCTCCACTCCTGCACAGTGCTTGGTCCGGTTGCCCCAGCTTACTGACGGTCGTAATGGCTGCCACCCCCAGATGCAGAGTCAGAGAGAATTCCCTCTGACCTCCGAGGAACTTGCCTGTTCCTCTTGGTCTTCTGAGGTGCCTCTCTTTCTTTCCTGTCCCTACAGGGCAGATCCGGTCCAAAGACCCATCTGCAGCGGTTCGTCAGCCCGGGATTTCGTGGAGCTCATCAGACTTCACTAATCCCTGACTGTCTCACTGCGACGCTTCTGGTTGAATCCTCTTGTACGAGAAATTTCTATGGTCATTCTACTTGGCATATATTGAACCATGAGCAAAACTCTCTCTTTGATGCTTTAACAAATGAAGAAGCCTACAAGTTTTTCTATGAATAGAAGCATGGATCAGTGGTGGGTTCTACTCACCTTTACTACTCACATTACTTCGCAATGGTAGAAAAGGTAAATAGAACCAATATTCTATAGAACTGGTCTGAACCAGGGGCAACCCACCATTGGCATGGATACACAATAAAAGTACTTCAGAAGGAGTTTCTAAAATCTCTTTTCAGAGCCTCAGTACCCTTTTTATTACTAATAGTTATATCCTGTACACTTGAAATGCACATGTATATATTGAATATATCTTTCTTTTTATCTTTATTTGATTTGTATACCGCCCTACTCAGGGTGGTGAACAGCCAAACAGTAAAATACATAAATACAAAATTTAAAAACAGGATAAAATTGAATTAAACAATTTGGCCCAGACAAATTAAAATGCCCCAATCATTTAAAAAACAGATTAAAATTTGCATATTAAAAAGAAAAGAGGGAAAAGATTAGGCCAGGCCCGCCTGATGGAATAAAAAGGTCTTCAAAGCGTGGCGGAAGGTGCGCAGATCCAGTATCCTCCGTATCTCCGGGGGGGAGCTCATTCCAGATAGTAGGTGCCCCCACAGAGAAGGCTCTCCCCCTAGGGCCCGCCAGTCAACATTGTTTGGCTGATGGCACCCAGAGGAGCCCCTCTCTATGAGAGCGTACTGGCCCGTGGGAGGCTATTGGTGGTAGTAGGTGGTCCCGTAGGTGTTACATGTGAATGCTGCACTCTGCACCAGTTGTAGCCTTCGGGTGCTCCTCAAGGGGAGCCCCATGTACAGAGCATTACAATAGTCCAGGCGGGAAGTGACGAGGGCATGAGTGACCATGCGTAAGGAGTCCCGATCCAGAAAGGGATGCAACTGGCGAATCAGGCAAACCTGATAAAAAATCCTCCCGGTCACGGCCGTCAAATGCTCTTCTAAAGACAGCAATGAATCCAGGAGGACGTCCAAGTTGCGAACCCTCTCCGTGGGGACCAATGATTCGCCCCCAATAGTCAGTGATGGCTCCAACTGACTATATCGGGATGTCGGAAACCACAGCCACTCGGTCATGGACGGGTTGAGCCTGAGCCTATTTCTCCCCATCCAGATCCGCACAGCCTCCAGGCACTGGGACATCACATCAAGGGCATCGTTGGGGTGATCCGGAATATATGTATAGAAAAGTACATCTTCAATATGTATTGAAGATGTTAGGGAAAATATTAGCACGTTTCATGAAAAACAGTAACCACGAAGAATGTCATTTAATGGATTCGTTTTATCAGATTCTCTTTTCTATTAAAGTCAGGTCTCAACACGATGATATAGCATTTTGGGGAAAAGATACAAATCAGTAGCCCCCCACTGGAGGCCAAGATGGCAAAGATCTCCACTGCCACCATATATTTGCCTTTGGTACTCATGTAGGCAGGTATGAAGGACAACCAGACACTGCAAAAGATCAGCATGCTGAAAGTGATGGATTTGGTTTCCTGGAAAGTGTCTGGTAATTTCCTGGCTAGGAAAGCTGCAACAAAACTGACAATAGCCAAAAGACCCATGAAGCTCAATATACAATAAAGCATCACAACAGAGCCTTCATTACATTCCAGAATAATTTCAGTGCTAAGAGAGTTCATGTCAACATTTGGGAAAGGGGGAGCGGTGGAAAGCCAGACTACACAAAGAAGAGTTTGTACAAGAGAACAGGAAAAAACAACTGAAAGGGCTAGTCGATTTCCAATCCACGTCCTCATCTTTGATCCTGGCTTAGTGGCCATAAATGCAAGAACCACTGTAATTGTTTTGGCCAACATACAAGAAACTGCCACTGAGAAGATGATGCCAAAAGCAGTTTGTCGAAGAAGACAAGTCATACTTGTGGGTCGACCAATAAATAACAGGGAAGAAAGGAAGGCGAGAAGAAGGAAGATGAGAAGGATGTAGGAGAGGCTGCGGTTGTTGGCCTTGACAATGGGAGTGTTGTGATACTTCAAGAAGATTCCTAGAATGTAAATTGTAGTAAAAGAAAACAGAAGAGCCACTGTGGCCAAACTGGTTCCCAAATTATCTTCATAGGATAGGTAACTGAAAGGTTTGGGAACACATGAATCATGGTCTTTATTTGGGTAATGATCATCTGGGCACTGAATGCAATCATCCATGTCTGAAAAACAACAGTGTATATTAAATCAAGATATTTATAATATTTCTCTATATTTTCCCCCTTTAAAAAGTTAACTTGGCCAACTGCTAGCAGTTCAATCCTAATCGTCTCAAGTTGACTCTGCCTTCCAACCTTCCAAAGCCAGTAAAATGGGGACTTAGATTTTTGGAGGCAATATTTATTTATTTATTTATTTATTTATTTATTTATTTATTTATTTATTTATTTATCAAATTTATCAAATTTATCAAATTCTCCCAAAGGAACTCAGGGCGGTGTACAACCAAGCTAAAAAGCAACAATATAAAAGTTAAAAACAATTTAAAATTATTAGATAGTTTGGCCAATCATCTAAAACACAATACCCCCATTAAAATAGTATACTGACTCTGTAATCTGCTTAGAGAGGGCTGTAAATCACTATATAAGTCTAAGTGCTATTCCTATTCCTATGATGCACTCTCCAGCTTGGCACAAATGGAGGAGAAGAATACTCATGTATGAATGCTGTTTTTTGATTTTAGTTTGGCATTCAATGCAATCATTCCTCAGCATCTGGTGAACAAACTGGTCCTGTTAGTTTTTAATACTCCTTTATGTAATTGGATATTGGATATCCTTATTGATGGGCCCCAGTTTGTGTGAGTTGGAAGAAAGGTTTCCAACTCCATCTCCTTGAGTACAGGTTCTCCAAGGGGCTATGTCTTGAGTCCGCTACTGATAACCCTGACTGCTGTACCAAATCTGCTACAAATCATATTGTGAAGTATGGAAATGACACGGCAGTGGTGGGTCTTATCTGGGATGACAATGAAGATGCTTATGGAGAAGAGGTGAAGGCTCTGGTGGACTGGTGCAATAAAAGTAACTGGTTCTAAATGTCCATAAAATAAAGAAGAACATTGTAGGTTTTAGAAAAAGCTGGCATGGTCATACTCCACTCAGTATCAAGGGTGCAACTATTGGAGTGGTAACAGCATTAAGTATCTGGTGGGCAGATAACTAACACAGAGAATTGGTCTCTCCACATGTGATCCTCAGTGAACCATCTGAATTTCCTGCATCGTATGAGGAGAGCACATCTTTCTCCTTCTGTCCTGACCACGACTTAAGCGATACTAGGGATTTGAACTGCTGAACTGCCAACCTTTCGATCGACAAGCTTCGCATCTTAGCCACTGAGCCACCATGTCCCTTGATACTAAAGATAGTATGTGTCTAAATGTTGAAATATATCTAATATTCTGATAAGGCTTTTACCTGTCTGGTTGGAGATCTTCCCTTCTGAACATGGAGTACAATCATAGCAGCAAAAGTGTTCTCCTTCTTTGGTGCTCTTTCTATAACCTGAATGGCATTTCTCATTACACAATGAAATGGGCTGTGTCTGTCCATGAAAGGAAGAAGCATTGGATTAAATATGAAAAACCAAGAAAAAGCTCAGTCATGCATTATAACAACTGAAAAAGATTTGTACTACTGAATGGGAGATACCAATAAATTACTAGGAGAACAGATCAATCAATATGTGTTCTTTTTAATTAAAGGGCAACGGATTCCAAAAGCAATCAGTATTTCAGTCAGATTTGTTCAGTTATTCAGTGATGACAGGTTTATTCGTGAAATATTGTCCAACTGACAAAAAAAATCAAGAGACTATTTGGAAAAGAAATTCTAATTGGTAGATGTACCGTTTTGTTTATAAAAAATAGTTGACTTGTAAATTGAACATTTTGAGCCTTAAACCTTAGATAAGAAAAAAAAAAGAATAATATTTGGGGGGGGAGAGAATTCTAATTGACAGATATAGAAACTACAATATTTTTTTTAAAAAATAATTATTCAGTTTTGTAAACTAAGTAATGAAGCTCTTTGAACTTTAGAAAAGTGATATTCAAAGGGATTCTACCTGTCCAAACTGGGTTGGCCAGACAATGTCCTTTTCGGAAATAGTCAAAAGTTGGTCTAAGGGTGCTCCTGGATCCAGCTTTCCAATTTTGACTCTAAGAAAAGACTGATTTGAGAATGTGATCCAGTTGATAATATCAAATCCTCCTACTAATTCTCCATTTTGGTCAAAAGAAATAGTTCTTCCATTGCTGTCATTAAATGAGACATACCTAAGAAAGTGATGCATCTAAATGAGAGTAAGAAAAGAAATGTTTAATATATTCCTTTTTACTGAAATTTATTTTTAATCTATTCATATGCTACACATATTAACTCCTAAGTATGGAGAGGTAGATATTTCCAGAGTACAATGACATCAGAGTATGCCATGATTTCCCTGATTATACTGGTGAAAAAAACAGGGAAATATATTGGAAAAATAGGTCTTTCATTCTGAAAGACTAAAAGAAATTGAACCTACTTATTTCATATGGTTTAATTTTTCAAAAAGATTTTCAAAGACCAGCAAATACTCACAGAACAATGAACCTGTTAACGTCTTACTAATTAATTGCACAGCTGATTCATGTCAAAATTAGGTTGCATGTTGGACACCACATTGTCTTTTGTGTGATGTGTCAAAACAAACAAACAAGCCACAGAAGGTTAGGATTTGGGTTAAATAATAAAAAGAAACAAGAGCTTTATAAATCCATACCCCAACACAAAGGGTTTTTCAAGATAGGATAGATAATATCATACCATCATCATAAGGTTAAAGATATTTTTAGGAAAAAAAAATCCATCAGAGATCACAAAACAAATTAGAAACTATGATAAAGTTAGAAATGTATTACCAATTTTTGTACCAGAAGAAGTATCTCTCCACCTTTAGGAATCTGACCATCTCTAGATATTTTCAGTATTCCATATTATAGTTTTTCTATGAAAAGAAATTAGGGAAGAAGGAACTGGATGAGAAGACCTTTAAGGTCATTTCCAACTCTTGATTGCAAGGAAAGGGTGCTGCAAATGCCTTTAATAGTTCATGCAAAGGATTACCTTCCACGACTGTTGATGAACTTTCTGTCTCCATCCATTTGCAATTCCCTTTTGGTTGTTCCTAGAAGAGTACATGGCATGCAAAGCATAAGCAACGGAATATGCAGCTGTGTAGACACTGTAACTGTGAGCAGTCATCCTCATCTCAAGCACTGACATAGGGAGAGTCCCTAGCTGCTCTTTGCCAGTGCAAATGTCCTCACCCATATTGTCTCCGGTAAAACTAGGGAAGACACAATTAAATACCTGTTGCCAGGTTTCTCTTATGAAGCCATCTTCTTTCTCCAAAGCAGGGTTTCTTGCTTGAAAAAACTGATGGAAGCCAGAAACATCCTTGAAATTAATTGCCAAGGATAAAGATCCATGAAGGAAATTTAAGTCCCAACCTCTCTGAAGGGGAATGGATACGTAATCAACATCTGATGTCATAATCAAGACTTTTGAATATCCTGACGATACCACAAATTCAGCTATTTTGAAGAAATGCCTTAAAGTTACTATACTTTGAAATTCACCTTCAACAATCACAGTATTAGAAGTACGGGTCAAGAGAAAAAGAAATGTTTCATGAATCCCATCTGCTAGTTCGTCAAAGTCATTGAGGGAGCCGTCACCCAGTTTTCTTATGAAATCAAAGCAGATGCCATTTTTCAAAAATACGGGAAGCACATTTTGTAGTACTACCTGTGTCAGTTTCCCAGTATCAATATATAACACCCCAATCCATGTCCACCCAAAATGCAATAGAAGATGGAGAATCCCCCTGTGCTGTTGAATTTTATTTGGGAACATCCAGTGGAAGGCAGTATCTTGGGCACTCATCTCTGGAGCAGAGCAATATCCAAGCTATTTTTTTTTTTTTTGAAGGAAACCAAGAAGAAAATGTGACTCATTCCCAACCTCTACTAAAAATGTTTCAAGGTCAAGTTATGTTGTACAATACAGTATAATCCAATTCACATTACTGCTCTAGCTGATGTTGTTATGTAACAAATAATCTAACAAATTTTGTAAGAAGCTCTGGCCTTCCAGTCTCTTGTGTAACAGGAGAACAATTCAAAAAAAAGAGCTGCCCAAAGAATTAAGGATATAGAAGCACAAAATGATATAGCTATCCTTAGTAAGGTGGGTAACTTGAAATGGCTGAGCAAATACAAACATACTTTTCAAGTAGACAGCTATTTGACGTTACAACTGCCAAAACATCTTAGGGGTATATTACGTGAGCGAGATTCGAACATCTTGACACAATGATCAGATATGGGAGATTCCTTTCTATACCCTACAATGAGCGTCTCTGCATTTGCGGAGAGGCAGAGGTAGGAAACCTGGCTCACATCCTATTTGACTGTTACTTGTATAAGGGGGTGAGAGACAGGTACCATGGTCCATATACCAAGCGAATGACCCATTGGGATCCCCATATCAAAAAAACCTACTTTATGTGTGGCCAGAACCTGAAGATAACATCTAACACAGCACAGTACTTAAACAAAATGTTTTAGTTGAGATCTGCATATGTGGGACAGATTGGGGTAGATTGTGTGACACCGAAATGTAATTTTATGTCATTTTACTCTATTTTATATATTTATGTATCAAATTATATTGTATCTAATCCTATAACTATTGTATTTTACCCTACTTTTATTTTAAATTGTTTGTATAAGATTTTAATGATGATATGTGTTTCCACTTTGTGCTTTGATACAGCCTATAGGCTAACTGAATATTATTTTATTAACAATATTAAATATTATTTAATAAAATACTATTTATTAAATATTATTTTAAAGCAATTATTCTTTCAGCCACTTACCTGTGCAATTTTGTAATTGGTCAAGATGCTTGCCATGTACAGAAATTCATAAGAGTTTGGACCCCCAATAACAGCTATCAGATTGTTTTGGAGGTCACATTTATAGTTAGGAATGAACCTGCTTTGAGTAGAGAGCAGTTCCATGGTGGCTGCATAAGTATATCTTGCATTATAATAGGTGTTATAGATCTTGAAGCCTAGGGTGACATTGTTTAAGATCTGGGCATTTTCATTAATCTCCTTTACAGCAAACACCAAGGCTACGACAAGTTGGTAGGCTTGAGTCACTGAACTAGAGTCAAATTCAAAAATTAGAAATATACACTGTCAAGTGGCTTCCGAGGAAATATGTGCTGCATTTCAATACAATATGTCTGCTAACTTCATGCTGAACAAATGTTTAAAAGTAGAAATCTCAAACTGTACAGGTTCCTTTAGATTAACAGACAAAATATAATGCGGATATCAAACCAACCACTGTGAGGTCCTTTCCTTTCCTTTCCTTTCCTCTCCTCTCCTCTCCTCTCCTCTCCTCTCCTCTCCTCTCCTTTCCTTCTTGGCTTCCTCCCACCCTTCCCTCCTCCCCTCCTCCCCTCCTTCCTCATAGCAGCAAAACATTAGCAATGACTAAATCTTAATACTACTTCTCCCAATTTTTATCAAGGTAGGATCACCCTATGGCTTGCAAATTTCAGCTACTTACAGGAACTCGGGGATGATATCATGAAAGGGATGTCTTGTGAATTTGGTCTCTACAGAAGCAACAATGTACTCAGAAACTGTAGCACCAATAATGAGTTCTCCTGGTTGATAATATTTATGAAGAATGAAGCTTGGATCATTGCTACTGCACTTTTCAAAACAAACACTGCAGATATTCTGAAGGAGCAAATATAACATTTGTCCCCAAAATGTGACCATCACAAATGATTGGATTCTTTGTTTCTTGGAAAATTCTTTTGAAAAACAATATTTCATCTCCTCCACAGAATAGCCTCAAAGTCTGAAAGTTAATTATCAGTTGCAAACTAATACAGTGGAAAATGCACATTGGTCCACTGAATCCTAGCATTGTAACTCCAGGTTTGACAATCAACAGAGTTATTTAAATAACCACACTTTAATTTTCATAGAATCACAAGTACCCACAGAGCCTTCGGGGATCTAGGGAAGGGACTTGACAATTTTCTATTAAGACAATAATTAATTCAAATAATCCTGTAACATGCGGTGTTTACTACACTGCTGTTATTTTTGTCTCATACTCACTTGCCAGGAAGAATGTTGTAATGTGGTCCATGAGGTCATATTCCATTGAACTCAATACAGGTAGTCCTTGACTTATGACTACAATTGAGACCAAAATTTCTGTTGTTAAGTGAGTTAGTTTTTATGTGAGTTTCGCCCCATTTTATTTATTTTTATTAACTTTACAACAACAACAACAACACAACACGATATACAAAACACAAACACACAATATGTGTTTCTTTTTACGTATCAGTTTCGTTCCTCTTACTTTCTACTTTCTACATTACCCATTTTTCTCATCCTTTATTATCTACATCTTGATCATCCCTTTATTTCCAATTTTATTCATTTATAGTATTTTACACATTTGTCACATCATTTATTCACTTTTACTTTCCCTAATCTCGAGCCAATCATACCACTTAGTCCATACTTGATAATATTCTGTATCTTCCTTTTCTTTTATTTCTTTCGTTAATTTATCCATCTCCACACAGTCCAGGATTTTCTTAATTGTTTCTTCCTCTGTTGGTACCTTTTTGTTTTTCCAGGACGGTGCCAGTGGTGGGTTGCCCCCGGTTCGCACCGGTTCCATAGAACTGATAGTAAAACCGGCAGGAGGCTCTGCCCATTGACCCCGACATCAATATGGACTTGAAACATGTCCACATTGACGTCTTTACTGTAGGTTCTTTTCAATATCCCCAGTAAAAACGTCTCTGGTTTCAAGTCCACATTATAACTAATTATCTCTTCTATCCAACTTCTAATTTTAGCCCAATATTTTTTCGCCTTTGGACATGTCCACCAGAGATGGTAAAATATTTGGCGACATTTTTATATTTCCAACAATTTGGAGAGTTGTTTAGGAGACATTTTAGCAAGCTGTACTGGTGTAAAACATCTGTAAAATATTTTTAACTGGTTTTCCTTGAATGTTGTTGATGGAGTCAATTTAATGTTTATTTCCCATAATTTTTCCCATTTCTCCAATTCTATATTGTAGCCAAAATTTTTCACCCTTCAAATCATGGTATCCTTAACTACCTCTTCTTCCATTTTATACCTCAGTAGATATTTGTATATATTACTAATTAATTTTATTTCTCTTCCATGAATAATTTTGTCCAATTCTTGCGGTTCCTTTAGTATCTCATACATCTTTTTATCTCTTACAAATTTAGATTCAACTTGTGCGAATGTCCACCAAACCATCATCCTACCAATATCTTGTTCCAGTTCCTGTTATGTTTTCAAATCTCCCTGATCATTTACCAATTCCTTATATCTAGTTATCTTATTTTTCCCCAGTAAGTTTGGGTATAGCAATGCTTCTGTTGGTGATAACCACATTGGAATTCTAGTGTAGCGTTTTTGTTTTGTTCTTTTCCAAATCTGTAGCAATGCATTCCTGATCAAGTGTGTTTAAAAATATTTATGCGATTTATATTTCTCGTCCCACAGGAATGCATGCCACCCTGCTTGCAAATCATGGCCTTCTATTGTTAACATTCTTTTATTTTTCAGCTCCATCCCAGGACCCGGATTGTGGGGGCAATAAGATGACTTTGTATATATAAAAAAAGAACACCACTTGGGGGGGGGAATGTTCTGTCCCCGTCTCACACACGCACCCCCACAGACAGGCAACAGTTAAAGAACTCAGCCGACAACAGTTTATCTGGTATCAGAATTGGCAGCAATCCAGTGTCTGGCTGCCAGGTATTCTTTACTCATGAGGGGGGAGTTTCTCCCTTCGTCCGGGAACAAAGCCAATACACAATAATCAACAAAGTCCAGTAAATACAAAGAAGGTCATCCGATATCCATTTTTTGCTTGTCACAGAGCTGAACCGGCCACCACACCCTCTTTTATACCCTGTGGGGTGTGGTCCAGTGACTCAGCTTAATCCCTGGCACACCTCTTCTTCTGCTGCACGCGCTTATCTCTGTGACGCTGCCGAGGGTCCAGCCAAGACTCACCTTCCTCATTACTGTCCACCTTTGGCTGCGTGGACGTGCTTGGCCCCGGGCCTATCTCTTGACTTTCGGAGGACACCGAAGGCATTGCCAGAGAGGAGGGTCCTGGAGAGGGAGGCCTTGCCAAATCCTCTCCTTCACTCTCGGAGTCCTCTCCTGCCGATAACACAGGCTCAGGTAACGGAGCCACAACAGCGAAGGCTTACTAAGCAGGTATATACAAAAGTATGAAGGCTGTTGCTTAATGCATTGTAAACTGCCCTGAGTCTCCGGAGAAGGGCGGCATATAAATCGAATTAATAAATAAATAAATAATAAACAAATATTTTAACCATGCTAGACTCGCTGCTTGGTGATAAATTTCCCATTCTGGTAATCCCAATCCCCCAAGATCACATGACCTTGGGACAGAGCAATGGTCATAAGGATGAACCGGTTGCCAAGAATCTAAATTTTGATCATGGAGATGGCTCAGTAGTAACTGAAACTGTGAAAAATGGTCAGAACTTACCTTTTTAGTGCCACTGTAACTTTGAACGGTCACTAAGTGAACTGTTGTAAGTCAAGGACTACCTGTAGTAACTCTGTAAACAAAAATAAGCATAAGCCACATGCTAGTTTGCAAAGGGCAGCACAATTTTTAAATACTACAGATTGGTTTTTTCAGGTCAAGTACAATTTATATTTTGGGAAAAACAAATTACTACAGGTAGTCACCTTTTCATTGTACCCAAAGACCGTGGACAGGCTACAACAAACATCTAATAAAATAGACTGGCTGTGGAGAGGCCATTCTGCATCCAGGAGTTGATCATTTTTGGTCCTGGATAGGGTTGCACTACCCCAGATTGTTAAGCAAGGTTTAGGATATTGCTCAGTAAAAATAATGAGATGGAATCCTGATGTCCTTTAATAAGCCAAATGCATTGATTCAGCTGAACAAAGGCAGGTACTTTCTCAAATTGGAAGATCCCCGAACACAGAGTAAGGCTGATAGACAGCAGATAAGGTCACAGGCATAAGCCCCAGCCTTATGGCTTCTTATGGAAATTTCCACAGCCTCGAAGAACTTTAATTCGGTCATCTCAACATGTCCCTTTTTTACCATTTGTCAAACCAATCATTCAAACATATTAGATTCCTGACCAACAATTCAGACCCAATGCATTAACTGGGTGTTTTCTTGGACTCACATCTCTTGGTCAAAGAGCAGCTGGCAGGCATGACCAGGAGAGCCTTTGCCGAACTAGGTGTTATGTGCCACTTACCACTCTTCTTGATGGAGGACTGGCATTTGGTCACTCATGTCATGGTCATCTCCCAATTGGACAATTGCAATGCGCTCTACATGGGACTACTCTTGAAAAGCACCCAGAAGTGGGCTTCCGGTTGGCGCTGCCATCGTCGCTAGATGGTCTCTTCAAGACCGCCAGCTCCACCGCCCATAAAGAGCCACCTCTACAGCTGAGAGGCCGCTTGAAAAACTCCACGATCCTGAGGAATCGGGAGGAGAGCCAGCGAGACAAGGTAGAGCCCCCTGCGAAGTCCCCAGACTGTCTTTTTTGCTTCTGGGGAGGAAGCAGGGTGAGGCTCCCTATCCAGCTTGCCGAGGCTCCGGACTCCGGGGACAACTCTACATTTAGCAGAGCCAAACAATGCGACCAACATAACGAACGAAAGCCAAGAGAATTACCAAAAATAAACAGGGTGGAATCTGGACTTGAAATTCAAACTGCAAGTATTTTTATTAGCCCTGTGAATGAATTCAAGAACTGAGAAAAAGTAAAAGTTTGCTAAAATGGCGTCCGGCTTTAGCGATAGGGAAAGCTTAAAGCGAAAGTTGATTTGCCTGAGTGTCTAATACGTTACAAAGTAACTAAAAACAACAGCGCTGGCTAGAAGAAAAGGGAAAAGTTCTTTTTAAAGTGATTTTGATCTGTTCCCTCTCCCTTGAGACTTGATTAAAGCTGGGGAAATTTCTGAAAGGATTCTGTGGTGAAAAGGGAGGGAGGACTTCCTTCTTAGAAAGAATAAGTCTGCATGGCAGAATGGCTTCAAAGCAGACAAAGCCAGCCAAAGCTGCAGAGGGGGGGGGATTCCCCCATTCACAAGCCACAAGAGCAGCCTTTAAGTTTGCAGACTCAGAGCCAAGCACAGGAGACTGGTTTTAAAGATTTGAAGGAATTTATTGCTGCGGCTCTGTTGAATCAAAATGAAGTTTTGGACCAGAAATTTGAAAAATCTCAACAGGAAATTAAGGAGGTGGTTCAAGAAAAATATGACAAGATGAAGCGTGACATACTGACGGTTGTGACTGGCTTGTCAGAAGCAGTTGTCCAGATTGATAAAAAAGTGGAAGAACTTAGTTCAGAAGTAGAATCTAAAATGAAGGAAGTTGATTATAAAATTTCTAATGTTGATAATAAAATGCAAAGGATTGAAAATGAAGTGATAATGATGCAATTTAGATTCATGGAGTTTGCTGTAAGACTGAGAGGAATAAAAGAGAATAATAGAGAGGATTTGAGAAGGGTTTGTGCTGATGCCCTGGCTGTGATGCTAAAGGTTGAGCCTGAGGAGATTTTGTGCAAGATTGATAAAGTCTATAGATTGAATTCTTGGGTGGCAAGGCAAAGGCAATTGCCTAGAGATGTGATGATCTACTTCAC